AATATCGCTTTAATATTTAGGTAAATTTGCCTTATTCATTTTCTCCGTGTTGGTTCGTTATTTCTATTGGGATCCGTCAAATGGGCAAAGACCATCTGGTGGCAAAATTTATAACTCGAATGAGGGAAAAAATTACATAGGAACTGTGCACGCAAATTGTAAAATTGTTTATTAAATTAATAAAACACGTTAAACCACCAATTATATAACGTGAATTACTTTTTAAATCCGAAGTTTGTAAAAAGTAGGCAGTAAACTTGACGGAATTTGTTATTTCCGAATTTTATAATGTGATTGGCATTAGAAACACGCTCACCTTCAACGAAATTTCCTTCCGAGGCTTTGTGTCAGTCCAATCACATATTGTGTCAATACTTATCATTTTATCGTAATTTAAAAACTTGGAAATTGCACGGTACACTATAGGAACTACGATAAATTTTCCCTAATCGGCGCCATGTTTTTAGGCTCCTCCCATTTGACGGATCCCAATAGTTAGTAACAAAATGGAAGAGCGCACATAGAAGATATCACTTTTTTGTGACCGTTGTCTGTAATAGATACGTAGCACGTACGTAACACAATATTGTCAACTTTTCCAAACATAACGTTACTTTAGCAAGTGCATGGCACTAAGCCCTTGGTAAGTGGCGATTTATCCATAAAAGCTGTGAAGATTCAGAAAATAAAATTTTTCTACTATACTAAACTAATAATACCATAGATACTAATGAAAAGGAAATAAATTTCCCAATAACGAAAAATGAAAAATATTTCTTTATACTATTAGATGTTATAATGCTAGCGATTATAATATGAATTGCAAAGTCAGACTGTTGTGTTAACTACATATGTATCAAAACTTTGGTTGTTTTAATTCATCAAAAATTAAACTTTAATAATGACCTGGATTATATCGTCAAATTACAATATCCATCAACACAGGATTCTATAGGGAGATTACCATTATCACAAAAATGTCTTCTCTCAAATTCATGAGAAGT